TCTCTGAGAAGGTGATGCTTATGCTTGGGTGGTTAGGGACGGTCTCTCTGAGAAGGTGATGCATATGCTTGAGTGGTTAGGGATGGTCTCTCTGAGAAGTTGGTGCTTCATTGAGACCTGCTGCTGAGAAAGGCAGCCATGCAAAGATTTGGAGGAATAGTGTTCTAAGGAGTAACAACAACACAATGAAAGTGCCCCAGTTTTGTGATTCATTTTGCTGAGATTTGCATGCCAAGCCAGATTAGATTTTTGCTGAGGTATGTATCTGTTAAGACAGATTAGATGACCTTCTAGGATAAATTCTTTAGTTCTTCAGATTGAAATTGCCTTTGAAGTGTGGTTAGAAATTACCCCTCACATCCCTGAGATCACATTCTTGGACAGGACTTTAGCTTTCTGTGACATTGATGATGGACTCATGAGCCCGATTGTTGCCCAATTGTCTAGGTAGTGGATGTTGAACTCCATCGCTATTCTCTTGGAGAAGATCATGTATATCCTCAGTCCTCGGAGTCTGACATCTCTGATGCCCCTCCGTCTTTGCCTTTGACCATTCCAGCCCCAGTGAAAGCTTCTTCGCCAATAAAGCAGGCACATGAGCCAATACCCGATACCTCCGTGGAGAAAGGTAATTCAGCATTTTTCCTTACATAGAGTTGTTCTGAGGCATTCCTTTCCCATTTGCTACTTTCAGAGACCTATAGTATATGGAAAATAACTTTGCCATAAGACATGCTGTCTCTACTGCACAGCTCTGTTATGAAAGCCAAATCTTCACTCCTGCCAACAATATTTCTCCATGAAGTTCTACCGACATTTTACAAAATGTAAAAATCACTAAAAACATTAATTTTCTTTTTGTTGTTGTTGTTTGTTTGTTTTTGAGACGGAGTCTCACTCTGTTGCCCAGGCTGGAGTGCAGTGGTGCAATCTCGCCTCACTGTAACCTCCACCTCCCTGGTTCAAGTAATTCTCCTGCCTCAGCCTCCCTAGTAGCTGGGATTACAGGCACCCACCACCTCGCCCAGCTACTATATCTGTCTATCTATCTATCTATCTATCTATATAAATTTTTTTTTTTTTATTCACCTGGGTACAGGTGGGCTAAGGCCAAAACGGGCATTAGCCAATTTTTGTACTTTTAGTAGAGATGGAATTACAGGCGCCCACCACCACACCTGGCTAATTTTTGTATTTTTAGTAGAGATGGGTTTTCACCATGTTGGTCAGGCGTGTCTTGAACTCCTGACCTCAGGAAATCTACCTATCTCGGCCTCCCAAAGAGCTGGGATTACAGGCATGAGCCACTGCACGCGGCCTAGAACATTAGATTTTTTATCACTTGATGATTATAATGGCTCCTTCTAGTGTATTACAGGACAACTTTATAGTTCACCTTCTGATTGTGCGATCAAGAAACTTGAATATTAAATATTTGATCTTAAAGTAAAAGATTCATCACAAACAATGCATTTTGGCCATGCAATTTTTAAATTTAACAAATATATAAGTGTATAAATACATAAATGTTCACATATATAAGCATAAAAGATATAAAATTGATTTTGAATGTTTTATTTCTAAGCGTATATTTTAACGTGATTTTAGTATTTTAGTTCTTTTATAAAATCTCAACTTTATTTCTCTTTAGATTTCAATTGCATCTTCTTTATGGGCACTTAATAAGATAGGAGAGAGGCCGGCCACAGTGGCTCACACCTGTAATCCCAGCACTTTGGGAGGCCTAGACAGGCGGATCACCTGAGGTCAGAAGTTGGAGAGCGGCCTGGCCAACATTACAAAATCCCATGAATACTAAAAATAGAAAATATAGCCAGGTGTGGTGGTGCACGCCTGTAATCCCAGCTACTTGATAGGCTGAGGCACGAGAATAGCTTGAACCTGGGAGGAGGAGGTTGCACAGTGAGCTGAGATTGCACCAGTGCACTCTAGCCTGGGCAACCAGAGCAAAACAATGTCTCTAAATAAATGAATAAATAAGATAGGAGGGTATTATTACATTAAGGGAATGCTTTCTGAGATTTTTTTTCTTCTCTAAACCGTTTTTCAGTTTATATGTTAAAAAACGGAGGAACATAACATAACTTGTGTTCTTTTTGTGTTATATGTTATGGTTTATAGTTAATTTGTTTTCAAGTTTCTTTTAAAAAGCACTTTAAACGTGATTCTAAGCATATATATTTTTCTCCAAGAAGAAGTATGGACGGATGATGGATTGTATTTATTTTGCTACCAGTATATGGTTTAAAATGGGTGTTGAAATAAGGCATTTTTCTTCTTTCCCACAACGGTCAGGTTTTGTTATTTCAAAGCGATTGATGATGACTTGCCGTTTGTCTGTTTCATCTCAAGCAGGATTCCCAGCTAGCACTGAAGCCGAACGACACACTCCATTTTATTCTTTGCCATCTTCATTGGAAAGAACACCCACCAAAATGACAACATCCCAGAAAGTTACCTTTTGTTCTCATGGCAATTCAGCTTTCCAGCCAATTGCATCAAGCTGCAAAATTGTGCCACAAAGTCAGGTTCCTAATCCTGAGTCACCTGGAAAGTCCTTCCAGCCCATCACCATGAGCTGCAAGATTGTCTCAGGTATGCAGATGTGTTGCAGGTAGTGTATGTGGAGTTGATTGGATGTTAAAATTATTGGAACAACAAAACAAAATACTGTGGCTTTTTTTCTCTTAAGTTCTTCTAAGCAGTGTTTGTTTAACAAGGGAAGCTTATCACTGTTGATTGCCAAAGCTGTCACAAGTCAAAAACAAAGTTCATTCATAGAGAAATTATTTGAATGGAGGCAATAAATGAAACTCAAATGGTCAAATTTTTGTCTCCTGGAATCAGCACAGGTAGAATGTTTGCTGATTTATGTTCAGTAGGTCAAGAGTAGGACCATAAAGTCTGTTTCTTAACAATTTCCTCAACAATGCTGATGCTGTTGGTCCATGGATAAGGATGCAGAGTGTGAAGCATACATCTTCTGCCTTCCTTATACCTCTGTTGCTGCTCGGTACTAGAAACATGCAGTTCCATTTTATTTTCCCAGTTTGTCCCAGTGGCACTGACCTTCCTTGTCCTGGACATCTTCTTGCATGAGTTGAATATGTCTATTTTATTTCTATTCCCTCTCTTTAATTAATAAGGTTCCCCAATATCAACTCCAAGCCCATCACCATTGCCTCGAACCCCGACTTCCACTCCAGTCCATGTGAAGCAAGGCACTGCCGGCTCTGTTATTAGTAATCCTTATGTTATGGACAAGCAGCCTGGTCAGGTTATTGGAGCCACCACTTCAGGTACAGGTGTGTATCAGATCAATATTTGTACCATCCAAAAGGTTTGATCTTTTATTAAAAACAGTCCTATCATGACTTAGTAGCCATGTAACTGGAGAATGTGAGAACAGGGAATACATAAAAGTAAAGCCAGCACTCTTCCTCTTAGGGGGGGTTCACTCTGTAAAAGTTTCATTTTTTAGAGTTTACTTGAGTTTTCTTTTAATTTCTAAAAATTCAAAATAAGCCATAATTAATTTCCTTAAAAGAATAGTTGATTTTGTTTTCATTTGGAAGACCTACTACCTTTTCCAAATGGAGCTTTTGCTAACTTTGTGGACCACATACATTTCTCCCCAGTGAAGTAAAAAATTGATATTTACTTTTCTTCAGGGAAGACCCATTCTGCTGTGGGAGTGGAAATTGAAACCTGCAGTTTTAAAGAGAACTCATAGGAAGAAGTCATCCTTGGGTTCACCATGTTTGTCACTATAATCCCATGCAACTATATCATGCTTTTTAGGTTTTTTTGAATGCTTTTCCTAACATTATTTTATTTATTCCCTTCATTTAACTTGTATTTATTTATTATTAATTTGTTAATTTATTTTTTGAGACAGAATCTTGCTGTTTCACACAAGCTGGAGTGCAGTGGCATGATCTCGGCTCACTGCAACCTCTGCCTCCCGAGTTCAAGCAATTCTCCTGCCTCAGCCTCCCATGTGGCTGGAATTACAGGCATATGCCACCACATCTGGCTAATTTTTTAATTTTTAGTAGAGATGGGGTTTCACCATTTGGCCATGCTGGTTTCAACTCCTTACCTCAGGTGATCTACCCACCTCAGCCTCCCAAAGTGCTGAGATTACAGATGCGAGCCACTGTACCCACCTCCATTCAACCTGTATTTAAACACACTCTCCTAACTATAGACTTCCCTGTAGCTTTCACTTCTAATTAAGAGAAATAGAAGATAAATGAAATAAAAGTGTTGATCGTAAGATGAGCCTGATTTTTTTGTTTGTTTGTTTAACCTATTGTAATTAACATATGAATGTATGTTGGGCTTTTCCAAGCAGTTTTTTTTTTTTTTTGAAAGACTAAACTTTAATAATGACTATAATTGTGGAATGCCCTTAAAAATTACTGTGTTTCAGGGCTTACCCAGTAACCTTTCAAACATACTTAGGGATTCCAAATAGGTGTTATTTCATGACATTTCGTTTTAGGAATCAGCCAGAAGTCTTTGGAGGCAAGTTTGGTAAATGGAGTAGATGATTAAATACTATTTGAGTCTTGACTTGTTGTCTATAGATAATATGACTAAATTTTTTCAGGCTCTAAAGGCAATTGTACAGATGGAGTCTAAAATGTTTAATGTTGGCTGGGCACAGTGGCTCACGCCTGTAATCTCAGCACTTTGGCAGGCCAAGGCAGGCAGATCACGAGGTCAGGAGTTTGAGACCATCCTAGCCAATATGGCGAAACCCTGTCTCTACTAAAAGTACAAAAACTAGCCCGGTGTGGTGGCGTGTGCCTGTAGTCCCAGCTGTTTGGGAGGCTGAGGCAGAAGAATCGCTTAAACCTGGGAGGCAGAGGTTGCAGTGAACTGAGATTGTACCACTGCACTCCAGCTTGGGCGACAGAGCAAAACTCTGTCTCAAAAAAAAAGAAAAATTAGCTGTGCGTGGTGGTGTGTACCTGAAGCCCCAGCTACTGGGGAGGCTGAGGTGGGAGAATCACTTGAACCTGGTAGGTGGAGGGTGCAGTGAGCTGAGACCGTGCCACTGCACTCCGGCCCGGGCGACAGAGGGAGACTTCATCTCAGAAAAGAAAAAAAAATGTTTAATGTTGGCAGCATTTAGAATAGTCTAACCTTCTGGTGAAACTACTTTGAAGGAGCTAGCAGAATGCATATTCTGGCACATTTGTTAAACAATCACTATCACGATAGAGTGTCTTTTATGGCATAAGGATTAGAATATACAAGATATACTTACTTATTCTTCTGCATATCCTTACCAGCTTCTTATCCTTCTTCAGGTTGAGCATGAGATCAGCTTCACAGGGATGGGTCCTTAAGGGTTTTTTCCATACTAGTTTTAGCCTTAAAGTTTTCAATCCTTAAAAAATGAAAAATAAATAGTGGGAAAGAGGGGAGGATGGTGGAAATGAATTAAAATTACATTTTGTAAATTTTACCTTGTTTATATTTTAATTGTGCCTTGCTTATCAGGAAGCCCTACAAACAAGATCTCCACGGCTTCTCAGGTCTCCCAAGGAACAAGTTCCCCTGTTCCTAAAATTCATGGAAGTAGTTTTGTAACATCTGCTGTCAAGGTAACACTCTTACTATATTATTACACTTTGCTAGCTTCTTTTTCTTTTCCTTTTTTTAAAAACAATTTTTTAAAATAGAGATGGTGTCTCCCCCTATATGAGACAGGCTATATTGAACTCCTGGCCTCAAGAGATCCTCCCACGTTGCCCACCAAGGTCCTGGGATTACAGGCATGAGCTGCACCCAGCCATTTTGCTGGTTTCTGAACAAAGTATGTTCAGCCTCAGTAAGAATGTGTCTGTTGATGATGCAAATTTCATAAAGTAGAATCTTCAAGCTGTTAAGCATCTAGAAGATCATCTATTCCAGACTTTATTACCTCACTTGGATCTTTTCATAGTGTCAAAAATGCTTCACAACACTTGTATCAAATAGTCACCCAGTATCAATTTGAAAACTTACTGATATGATTATTTATTTACTTATTTATTTGGATAGTTTGTTAAAAATATTTACTTATACAAATATTCATCTCACCTCTTCCCTTTCGGACACCTCTTTCTCTCACAACAGAGAGCTGCTCTCTTCTCTCCTTTTTTCTGCATATTAAATTTCTGCTCCTTTACCCATAAAATAAATAAGTAAATAAAAATATTCATCTGACAGCACCTTCTTATCTTTTCTATATATGCATCACCAAGAAGTAAACATACAAATGGCTCCCAACTTACAGTGGTCCAACTTAAGATTTTTCGACTTTACCCTGGTGCAAAAGCAATATGCATTTAGTGAGCCCTCCACTTACAGTGGGGTTACATCTAGATAAATTCACCATATGGTGAAAATGTGGGAAGTCAAAAATGGACTTCTGGCCTATGATGTTTTCACCTTATGATGGGTTTATCCAGATGTAACCCCATCCTACACCAGGGAGCATCAGTATTTCCTTTTCCATGTGCTAACCTTTTAGTTATTTGAAAATAATGCTTACCTCCAGAGTCTCTCCCCTGCTCCCCTTTTTCTGGGTAAGCAGTCCTTCGGAATTTAAAACTCTAAATATCGTCTGACCTGTTCCAGTCAAATGACTGATGCCTAACACAGCATTTCTTTTATTTAGATACTAATGATGATATTGAATAATTTCCTGGTCCAAGGCGAGGTTGTTCTCTAAATTCTGTGCAGTGTGTTAGCACTTCATATGAATGTCTGAATTTAATAATCTTGAAAGTTGTAACTCTGCTGGTTTAATTTCTATTGTTTGTTGGTGATAATTTTACTATACAATCAAGAAATGTTCTTTGTTTCTTGACACTATAACTGAATTTTGACAGTTTGCCTCTGAGATTTGTATTTTGTGTTTGAGAATTAAAGACAAACTACGGAAGTGTTCAATGTTGACTTTTATTGTCTTTGCCTATGCCAATTATTCACATTCTTTTTGTTTTTTAAGTGTGTATTGAAAATTTTTCCTTTGTATTCTAGGTGTTCATTGAGTAAATTTTGTATATCAAGTTGTGAGTACTATAGAGAGTATATATAGTGAAACATTTGCAGCTGCCTGTTTCTTTATTGATTTAGTACCTAGGCTTCAGGGATATAAAATAAACTAAATACAGTCCTTGTCTTTTAATGGTTTACCAACTATCGGGACAACCAGTGAAGTCAACCAAATATTAGGGATGGTAGATTAGAAGTCTTTCCAGCATGCAGCAGTACACAGATGAGTAGATTCTTGCCAAGTTACAGCTTTTCTTTGTATTTGGTTTCTAAAACAATATTAAAATGAAGGTATAGAGGCTTGGAAGATCCCAAGGAGTTTTAGGTTTTTTTGTCTTTTGTTCTTTATGTTGCTAGACAGTGTCACAGGCCTGTATTAATTGTAAGTGACTAGATTATCTGAACCCTTTATGCTAATTGTAAACTGTGTATTTTTACACACACAGCAGGAGGATTCTTTGTTTGCATCTATGCCACCACTTTGTCCAATTGGAAGTCACCCTAAGGTTCAAAGCCCCAAACCTATAACAGGAGGACTTGGAGCTTTCACAAAAGTGAGTATGTATTAGGGCATTATCCCACAGATCATAATACTTTCTCTGGCATGTTGGAGTTGATTGACACTTTCCGTACAACGTGTTACTTTTTAGTAACTCTCTACTTCTCGTTCTGAGATGTGCTGCCACGTGTTTAATGATGTCCTCAGGGCAGCCTTGGGAGTCCAGCAAGATGGGAATTCATGGAGCACAAGCAGTGTGTGTGTGTGTGTGTGTGTGTGTGTGTGTGTGTGTGTGTGTGTTTCTCTCTGCTGTCATTTGCCATAGTCTCTAAAACAAGTGACTGTGTTATTACAGGAGCACAGGATCAAGTCCAGATCCTACTTTTGGTCCCTTTATTAGCCATTATGGACTGTATTTAGGCAGTGTATTTCCCCTTCTGGTGGGGTCATTCTTTACAGATCAAGTTTCATTAATTCATTAATCCCTGCAAACAGAAAAGATTCAGATATTAGCAGCTTTATAAAAATGAAATGTTTATGGTTGTTTATTCAGTGTCATTATCATGTTTGTTGCAAGGTGATCATCAAACAGGAACCTGGTGAAGCCCCTCACGTGCCTGCAACAGGAGCTGCCAGCCAGTCACCACTCCCGCAGTATGTGACTGTGAAAGGGGGCCACATGATAGCTGTGTCCCCTCAAAAACAGGTCATAACTACTGGAGAAGGGATTGCCCAGTCAACAAAGGTTCAGCCCTCCAAGGTTTGTGCCAGGAAAGTTAACGTGTAAATGATGTTGTTTGCTAAATAATTGACAAGGGCTGAAAAGACTGAAGGTAACAGGGTTGCTGATCTCATAAAAACCTGTGGGTGGAAAGCCCAGTTGGAAAAGCTAGTCAGTTGGTGTGAAACTCTTCTGCGCCTGTGGTAATCATTGACAAGAGCAGGGTTATGTATTGCAAAGGGTCCAGGAATGGTCCAAGAGGCAGGGGGATGCTGCTGTCTCTGGCGGTGAAGGCAGCTGACTCATGGGCACAGCTTTCTACTTGATTCATGTCTCAAAGGGATCTGCTGTTGACTTGTTTATTTCTGATAGGAGAATGCTGTAGTTTATACCTCTGATGCCGGGGCTGTTACCTGTTTAATGATTCTTAGCTTTCTGTAGAGTTCACTTGTTTTATAATTTGAAAGTATGGGAGAATTAATGTACTGATAAAATACCACAGAGCCATGTTTTCCTAAATCAATTAGAAATACAGCCATGCATCATTAGGTGATTTTGTTGTGTCAACATCCCAGTGTACTTAAACCTAGATAGAATAGCTCACTATACCCCTAGGCTGCATGGTATAGCCTATTGCTCCTAGGCTGTAAACCTCTTTGGCATGTTACTATTGGATACTGTAGAAAGTTGTAACACAACAAACAGTAAGTGTTTGTGGATCTCAACATATCTAAACATAGAAAAGGTACTGTAAAAATACAGTGTTACAATCTTATGGGACCACTGTTGTATATGCAGTCTGTCATTGATTGAAACATCATGAATGTGGTAGATGATTGTGGGATTAGTATTGAGTGCTTTTGTGTGCCATTATAATCCACACACAACCCTGGAGGATGGGATTTTCACCCCTGTTTTACAAATGAGGAAGCTGTGTCACAGGTTAAATGGCTTCCTTGGGAGCATTACAGCTAATAAATGACAGAGTGTTTAAACTGAGGCCTGCTAACTCTGCTCCCCATACCAGAACTAATGGAAAGTGGTGAGCTATTGTCTCTAAACTCAGTATGCTTTTAGAACATCAGGGCTTAAATTGTCTCAACTTTTGGCAGGTATACTCTAAAGCTATTAAAAATATTATATAGACTGGGTGTGGTGGCTCACACCTGCGGGTCACCCAACACTTTGGGAAGCCGAGGCAGGCGGATCACGTCAGGTCAGGAGTTTGAGACTAGCCTGTCCAACATGGTGGAACCTTGTCTTTACTAAAAATACAAATAATAGTAATAGTAATAATAATTAGCTGGGTGTAACTGTAATCCCAGGTGCTTGGGTGGCTGAGGCAGGAGAATCACTTGAACCCAGGAGGCAGAGGTTGCAGTGAGCCAAGATTGTGCCACTGCACTCCAGCCTGGGTGACAGAGGGAGACCATCTCAAAAAAAAAAAAAAAAAATGGCCAAGCGACATGGTTCATGCCTGTAATCCCAGCACTTTAGGAGGCAGAGGTGGGCGGATCACCTGAGGTCAGGAGTTTGATGCCAGCCTGGCCTATGTAGTGAAACCCTGTCTCTACTAAAAAATACAAAAATTAGCCGGGCATGGTGGTGTGTGCCTGTAGGAGGCTGAGGCAGGAGATTGGTTGAACCTGTGAGGTCAAGGTTGCAGTGAACTGAGATCGCACCACTGTACTCCAGCCTGGGTGACAGAGCAAGACTCTGTCACCAAAAAAAAAAAAAAAAAAAAAAGAAGAAGGGTATGCCAGGAAACAGGAGGGTGGCAAAAAATGGCACTGTTTACCCTCTATACAACATGGGCACAACAGAAGCACAGCTGACCTTTTTCCTGAAAGTGGGAAGAGGTGCTGCCTTTGACATGAAAAGGGACAACTGAAGATTAAGTGGTTCCGTGTAGGGAGGAAGCGGTGTGTTAAAGTAAAGGAGCATGAGCTTTGCCATTAAAGCTTGTTGCAAATCTCAGATCTCAGCCACTCGTTACTGGTGTAGCCTGTGCGGGTTGCTTAATCTCTCTGAGCCCTGGTCTTTCAGGGTTGTAGAAGAATTAGAGATCGTATTTGAAGGACCTATCTAGCACAGAGCAGGTGTTCAGTAAATAGTAACTAATGTGGCTATCATATGTATCCCATGCCTGAGTACCGTGGTAATGGTTTTCACTGAGCAATTAACTTGTAAACAGCTGTATTTTTTAATGCCTGGAGGGAAAAATCTCAGATACAGACTCTTCCCCTTCAGTTTGCTGAGGTAAACTCTGACTTGCCAAAGGTATGTGTAGGAAACAGGGAGGCAGAAATAACATTTAATCAAAGCATGAATCGAAGTTAAGTGTATGACAGATAGAAAACAATGGGTGCCTGCTTTCTCAAGCTAGGTGGAAATTAGCAGTAGACAGAATTACTGAATGGGAAGAGAATGAGAAGAGTTGGTGGGGGTGAGTTCAGGTTCTAGGCTGAAATATGTTATTTTTTTTTGGTGGTTGTTGCTATTGTGGGTTTTTGTTTTTGTCTTGTTTTATGATCATAACTCCCTGCAGTCTCAGCCTCCCTGGGCTCCAGCAATCCCGCCTCAGCCTCCCAAAGTGTTGGGGTTACAAGCGTGAGCCTGGACAAAGTGTGTTGTTTAAAAAAAAATAAACTAATTTGGGCTAATACTGTCTAACTTAAGGGCTCTTACCCCTTCTTAAAGCAGTCCATAATCAGCTGGAGAGTTTTTCCCAATGGAATGCAGACTTCCTCATTCTCCTGTTTTCCAGAAGGAAGGTAGGAAGGTAGTGGCAGTCATCTCCCTGGCCGTGTGCACATGGTGGATAAGCTCTGCTAGTAAAGACTGCCTTCTTGTGGCTGGCTTGGGATACCAGGGTTTTTTGTTTCTTTTGAGACTGTAGCTCTGTTGCCCAGGCTGGAGTGCAATGGTGCACTCTCAAATCGCTGCAACTTCCGCCTCCTGGGCTCAAGCCGTATTCTTATCTCAGCCTCCTGAGTACCTGGGACCACAGGCCTGTGCCACCATTTCCAGCTAATGGTGTTTCTTTTTGAGATGGAGTCTCTCACTGTCGCCCAGGCTGAAGTGTAGTGGCGTGATCTCGGCTCACTCCAATCTTGGCCTCTTCGGTTCAAGCCGTTCTCCTGCCTCAGCCTCCCAGGTAGCTGGGATTACAGGCACCCGTCACCATGCCTAGCTAATTTTTTGTATTTTAGTAGAGATGGGGTTTCATCATGTTGGTCAGGCTGGTCTCAAACTCCTGACCTCATGATCCGCCCACCTTGGCTTCCCAAAGTGCTAGGATTACAGGCGTGAGCCACCATGCCCAGCCAAGAAGGTTTTTTTTCTCCTTTCATAAATACACAGAAAAGTTCTTTATCAGTAAGAAGAGTTTCTGTATTTCCACATCACTAAGAGGATGGCCTTACCCTGCTCTGTGGCCACAGAAACTCTATAGGTGCCCTGCAGAGTGAAGTTAGGACAGAGATGGAGATGTGGGTAATAAGGGGGTTTTCAGCCAAACCAGGAGAGCTGGGGGAATTTCTTGTCTTCGTCCTAGGCTAACTTGCTTTTTAAAATTGGTTCTTTTATTCTTTTTTCTTCTTTCCTTCCGTCCTTTCTTAAACATACAGAAAAGTAGAGAATAGTGTGATGAATCCACATGCCTGTTACCCAGTTTCAACAATTACCAGCACTTTACTCATCTTAATTTCTCTTCCTGGAATATTTTAAAGCAGCAGGCAGATCCTAGTATTGTGTAATTTCACTAAAAATTAATTTCTGTTTCACTCGCTGAATCCAGAGGTTAAGATCAGGTCTCTGCCTTGGCCAGATGCAGAAGACAGCCACAAATGTCTGTCTGTTCTTTGCTGGTCTCCACGTCCCCTTATGGATTATTCTTTTTCGGTTGACGTGGTGTGATGAGCAGCAACAGCTATCATGTTAGTTAGGCATCCTATAAACTCATTCTCATGTTGCTTCATGATTTTGGGTGTAAATGTTATCCATATTTTATAGATGAGGAAGCTGATGCTAAAACTCAGAGAGGTTAAATAACTTACCTAGCTACTAATGTAACAATAATTAACCTGGGAAACCACGTCTGTCCGCTTATGAAAACCTACACTCTTTCTGCTTTGTGACACTGTGGTTTAATAATACTTGATTAAGCGACTGTTTTCTTTACATCAGCTATATTATCCGAGTACATGGCAAATATATTTTACTGTACTCACAGTCTTTGAGCAGAAACCTTGTATGATATAGTAATTTTTAAATTTAAGACTTCCTACTTATCAGTTCCATAAGGTTTATCATTTCATTCTACCTCCTAAATAATCTTATTGTAAAATTTAGAACTACTCTAAAATTCCAGTAAAACATAGAGAGAATTAAGTAATCAATACGCATACTCTCCACCCTAAATTTACATATTCATGTTTACTCCAGATCTTTTTTCTCTCTGAATAAAACATTTCTGATACCGTTGAAGTCCGCTTTCTTCTTCCCAGAGGCAGCACTGTCACGGCTTTGATGTGTAGCCTCCAGTCCTTGCACTTATTACATGAATACACAGTCGTGGGAAGCATGATGTTGTTTGTGTTTTCAAGGTTTACATAAAAGATATTTCTACTTATATTTTTCTGTACCTCCCTTTTCACTCTTTCATTCTTCCAGTCTGTTTATGCAAATATATATGGTTCTAGTTCATTCATTTTTAGTATGACTTTTCATCGTCCCTTTTATGCCACAGTTTGTCCATTCGTCTGTCTGCAGACATTAAGAATGTCGTTGCATGCTGGAGACATTAAGGTTGCTAACAGTTTTTTAGTAAAAATAATGTTATGTTGGACATTCTTGTATATGTTCCCTTGAACGCATGCCTGTTTCCCTAGGATATATTCCTAAAAGTAGAATTCCTATATATGGGGGTATGTGAATTTTCAGTTGTAGCAGATAGGCCAGAGCCTCTCTGGAGTGGCTGTACAAATTTATCTTTTTTCCAGCAGTGAACAATAAATAGTACCTATTTCCCCACAGCCTCAGGTAACTTCTTGATGTTATCAGACTTTAAACTGTTTTCTCCCTAATCTGATGGGTTCCTGTTTTGTCTTTTTCTCCTTAAGAAGGCAGATCATTTGCATTTCTTCTAACCCTGTGAAAGTCTCATTGAGTTTCTGGTGAGAAGTGCTTTTTATGAAATAAAGAGCTGCGGAGCGCGAAACGCTGCCCCAATTTGCCATTCGTTCAGTTTTCTTTAATTTAACATCCTACTGTTGACAGCACTTTGGGAGGCCAAGGCAGGCGGCTCACGAGGTCAGCAGTTCAAGACCAGCCTGGCCAATATAGTGAAACCTTATCTCTACTAAAAACACAAAAATTAGCCGGGCATGCTGACACGTGCCTGTAGTCCTAGCTACTTGGGAGGCTGAGGCAGGAGAACCGCTTGAACCCGAGAGACAGAGGCTGTGGTGAGCCGAGATTGCACCACTGCACCCCAGCCTGGGCAACACAGTGAGACTCTGTCTCAAAAAAAAAAAAAAAAAAAACCACTCCCTAGTATTTTCTCTAAAGAGTTTACTTTCAGAACTAGATACTTCTAATTTTCATTTTCATTATTTGGATATTAGGGTCTTTTTTAAATAAAAAAAAAATCAGTTAAATATTCCTGCTTTTTTTTTTTTTTCCTTGAGACAGGGTCTTGTTCTGTCTCCCAGGCTGGAGTGAAGTGGCACGGTCCTGGCTCACTGCAACCTCCACCTCCCAGACTCAAGTGATTCTCCCACCTCAGCCTCCAGAGTAGCTGGGACTATAGGTTTGTGCCACCACGCCCAGCTAATTTTTGTATTTTTAGTAGAGACGGGATTTCACCATGTTGGCCAGGCTGGTCTCGAACTGCTGACGTCAAGTGATCTGCCTGCCTCAGCCTCCCAAAGTGCTGGGATTACAGACATGAGCCACTGTGCCCAGTCTCAAGTGTGTGTGAAAGAATTGGAAGTAGATACATTGGAAATATTAGGAGATTATTTCTGGATGAGTAGAACTTTTTTCTTTATACTTCTGAGTTTCCCAAATTTTCTATTAAAGTAAGTTATAAAAAGTAGCTGAGGTAAGAAAACAGTTGTTAAGCTTCTAGTATTGTAATACCCAAGTGTAAGAAACACATTTGCCGTTCACAGCTGTCTAGGTAGCTCTCCCAGATGACCGAATTAGGCTGCATGTATTATGTGCAGGCCTTGGCTTTGCTCTGAGAGCTCTCAAAGCACCGTTGGACTGTGCTCTGTTTTGAACAGGTTGTTGGAGTACCGGTTGGGTCTGCTTTACCTTCAACAGTGAAGCAGGCTGTGGCGATCAGTGGTGGCCAGATCTTGGTAGCCAAGGCCAGCTCCTCTGTCTCCAAAGCAGTTGGTCCAAAGCAAGTTGTGACCCAAGGAGTTGCCAAAGCAATTGTGAGTGGAGGTGGAGGAACAATTGTTGCTCAGCCAGTGCAGACCTTAACCAAGGCTCAGGTCACTGCCGCCGGTCCTCAGAAGAGTGGATCCCAGGGTTCAGGTAAAACGGCTCCTCATTGGAGGCTCTTTCAGCAGCAGCTCTGCCTGATTTCCTTTGCTAGTGACTTTATTTGCTATTTGATCTTCTCTAGGAAAGCCTAGTTAGGTCGATGCTAAGGTTGTGTATTAAAATGTTTGTTCTTGGTCTGTATTTAGCTTTAAGTTTACACACACACACACACACACACACACACATAATTTCTCAGTACTGTGGGGGACACACACACACACACACACACACACACAAACATAATTTCTCAGTACTGTGGGGGACTGGTTCCAGGACCCCCTGCTGCTGATAGCAAAATCCACAGATGCTTGAGGCCCCTCTGTAAAATGCTGTAGGTGTACTTCTCATCATCTGTAGGTTATTTTAATACCTAATAACAATGTAAATGCTACGTAAAGAGTTGTTACATTGTATTGTTTAAGGAATAATGACAAGAAAAAAAATCTGTATCTGTTCAGTACAAATGTACTCATCCTTCTGTCTTCCAAATATATGAATATTTTTGATTTGAGGTAGGTTACATCCACGGATGTGAAATCCACAGATACAGAAGACTGACTGTACTTGCCAGTTAGGAGCACAAATTTTGCCTGACTTTGACTTAAATGGGGGAAAATATGTATTCCTCCATAGGTAGGGTGATTATTTCATTAATTAGACGAAGCCATAGTACTTTTGAGAGTAAAAAGAGTCACTGTTAATAATTACAGTGGGACAGATGTAACCTAGAAGTGTCCTAGGCAGAAGCAGGACATACGATCACCCTATTTATATTGAGATATAAAGAGCCTCCGGCAGGCTCTTTGGGCTATAAATTATTTTCTAATTAGCAAGATATTTAAGAATATCAGCTTTTAAAGCATTGTGCATCTGGAAAACAAACTTGAGTTTACTGTTTGTTAGTGTTCTAAAATAAGATTTTATTGCCTTATATTTTAATTTTAGAGAGAGTGTTGCCCTTATTTTCAATATATCTTACCACTTTTTCTCCTTTTTTTCTCCTTTACCATTTTAGTAATGGCAACGTTGCAGCTGCCAGCCACTAATTTGGCCAACTTGGCAAATTTACCTCCTGGCACTAAACTCTACCTAACTACAAACAGCAAGAACCCTTCAGGAAAAGGAAAGCTGCTGCTGATCCCTCAAGGAGCCATCCTGCGGGCTACGAACAGTGCTAGTTAGTGAAACCGTTGGGTTGAATCATTTGACTCTTGGTTCTCTGTGTGTTCATCCTGTCCACCTGAGGGCAGTTCTTTCGTTTTCAGGAAGCATTTCTGTAACTGTGTTGGGTGGTATAATGGTAGCATTTGCCCATATGGATTTAACAGAAGTGATAATTTAACCAGAAGTGGGTTTGCTCCTCAGAGTTTGGGGTTAGGGGTGAATCACACGGGAGAGAGATGGCTCGTGAGGCTGTTGAGAGAAAGCTGTCTGTGTGCACAGTGAATGAAATGGTGTCTGAAAACTCAATCTGGTGATACCTGAGGGAAGATCCATCTACTTATAGAAGCTGGAAGTCTATTTTGGGGGACAGGTTGGCAGAGGATTGGAATCACATGTGTCTGTTTGGCTTCACTTAGATCAGGAGTCCCCAACCCCGGGGCCGCACAGCAGGAGGTGAGCAGTGGGCAAGGGAGGAGCATCGCTGCCTGAGCTGCGCCTCCCATCAGATCATGGCAGCATTAGATTCTCATAGGGGCATGAACCCTGTTGTGAGCTGCACGCTCCTTGCTCTTTATGAGAATCTAGTGCCTGATGATCTGAGGTGGGACCGTTCATCCTAAAACCACCCCTCACCACCTGCCCCCAGTTCATGCAAAAATTGTCTTCCATGAAACTGGTCCCTGATGCCACAAAGCTTGGGAACAGCTGGTTTGGATGTATTCCTTACGTCTAGGTTTGGAGACGGAAAGAGAAATGTAGATTCTAAGGTGTGCCTGTCTTAAAGCCCCGTGGAAATGAGGCAGTTCATCTACAGTTACAGAAACTTTTGCTTTGACAGAGAAAGAAAAACAATATAGGCAGTCTTGCAAAGGATAAGATATAAGGAAATTATTCCCTTCTGAATTAGAAATAGAAGAGTACAGCAGTCAGAGTCATTAGAAGTTGACCACCCTTGCCAAAATGCAGTGTGTCAGCTAGTCGTCCTTGTGTTCATTGACTGTGGTGGGTCGTTTCCATGCTCACTTTGGTTATTTTTTCCTCATACCTACGCAGTGATATGTCCAAAAGTTAAACATGTAAGAAAAGGACAATGTAAATATTTCAAAAGTCATCCAGTGAGCTACTTAGATTCTTGTGATATCCTTGGGATGAAAATAAACATCAGGAAGGAAGCTTTTCCAGTAATCACTGGAATGAAGGTAGAGAAGGAAATTGGAAGTTAATATTTGTTGAGTGAATATTCATAGTCCGTAGTTCATTTGCATTATCTCACTAAAAGAGAAGTAAAAAGAATTGAAGGTTTTGAGGTGGAATTTGAAAGGCAAAGAAGAATGGGGTCCTGGAGTCATTGTAAATGAAGGAAACTCTTCATTTTTCCCAAGACAGGAGACCGCATCAAGCACTGTAAAGTTATGCTAAATTCCAGCAAGTCAGTGACATCGAATGCGATGCCCAAAAGTTGGGAAGCACCTACCTGAACACATTTAAGAGTTGATTAAAACACATGTCTAGAAAATGTCAGTAGCAAGCCCTCTCTTGATCTCCCATGACCATGTCAAAATATCTTCATTGTACTCAGAGCCAAAATACAGTCAGCTGCCATTCCATTGAAAGGAAACAGATTTTGATCTAAAATCTAGGAAGTTCTCCTCACTCTTTTCACAGGATAGGTAGATTACAGAAAAGAAGGAAGACAATGAGAAAGGCAAGGAATGACGCTAAAAGGGAAACATCTCTCTGGGCTCGTTTGTTTTTTCTGTTAAAACTTTACTGGATACTTTTTATGATGTTGCTGTCATTCATTGTATTTTTAGATCTCCAGTCTGGCTCAACTGCCAGTGCGGGGAGTGGTACCGGAGGAGGAGGAGGAAGTGGAGGCGGTGGCAGTGGTGGAGGCAGCAGTGGAGGAGGAGGAGCAGGAGGAGCAGGAGGAGCAGGAGGAGGAACTCAGGGCACCACCGGCCCTGGAGGAATAGCTCAGCACCTGACCTACACATCTTACATCCTCAAGCAAACTCCCCAGGTCTGGTTATCTGTAACTGATATTTTAAATCATTTAGCTATTTGATAATGACACTTAATTATAATTGATTTACCTTTACAGCTCTGGGATCAGGGTTCAATACTAACACTTTAGCCATGTTATCTATATTTATGTCTTGGCCAGGTGTGGTAGCTCATTCCTATAATCCTAGCCCTTTGAGAGGCTGAGGCGGGTGGATCGATTGAGCCCAGGAGTTTGAGACCAGCCTGGGCAACATGGCGAAACCCCATCTCTACTAAAAACACCAAAATTAGCTGGGTGTGGTGGTGTGGGTCTGTAGTCCCAGCTACTCAGAAGGCTGACATGGGAGGATTGCTTGAACCCAGGAGGTGGATGCTGCAGTGAACCAAGATTGCGCCACTGTACTTCAGCCTAGGTGACAGAATAAGAATCTCAAAAAAAATAAAAAATCTGTATCTTTTTTTGCTTGCTTTGAGAGAAGAGGAAATAGAGGTTGAGAAAGACTTTAGTAACTTACTCAGCATCTTCCTGCTAAGCCAATGGTAGAATTTGGGTTTAAGCCAGGTGCGGTGGCTCACACCTGCATTCCCAGTACTTTGGGAGGCCGAGGTGGGCGGATCACCTGAGGTTAGGAGTTCCAGACCAGCCTGGCCAACATGGTGAAATCCTGTCTACTAAAAATATAAAAATCAGCTGGGCATGGTGCTTTGCACCTGTAATCTGAGCTACTCGGGAGGCTGAGGCAGGACAATCACTTGAACCTGGAAGGTGAAGGTTGAGTGAGCCGAGATCGATCCATGGCACTCTAGCCTGGGCAACAGAGTGAGACACTGTCTCAAAAAAAAAAAAGAAGAATTTGGGTTTAAACCCTGATCTTCCTACCTTAAAGAAATATTTCTACTATGCTAATTGCCTCCCATATCCATGAGGTAACAAACAGTATTCATTTACAGTTGAAAAGTTGCCCATAGAAGGGAGTGATAAGGAGGCGGCATCAAGTCGTAATATTTAGAGTTAGGTTAGATTTCATGAGGAACAAATTTCCTCCTTCTCTCCTCATGTCACTGAAGTCTTGGCTCTTTTCTAAGGAAAGTAATAGAATTTTGGTTCCGGATGTTCTTACTGAGAAAGGTAGATAGTTATCAGTCTGAATGATTAAATCCAGCTTTGAGGACTAAATTGCAAAACTAGTTTCCAGCAGGCTGCTCTGTAACCATGGTGCAAAGTTTGAGAAGTGGGGAGAACTATTAGAAGAGACTTAGAGCACAACTATTCTTTTGGATTATTTTGCCTTCATTGCAGAATTAAAGGGGAGAGCGTTGTCACTTGTAACATGGAATGTTATATGTGATTTAAGGGATCAGAACAGTGCATTTGAATTTAAGAAATTACTGGTTAGTTCTTTATATTTTCTTTCTAACTTAGGGCACATTTTTAGTTGGCCAGCCATCACCCCAGACTTCTGGAAAACAACTCACCACTGGGTCAGTGGTCCAAGGCACACTAGGAGTTAGCACATCTTCTGCACAAGGACAACAAACGCTGAAAGTCATCTCCGGGCAGAAAACCACGTTGTTTACACAGGTAAATACACCCATGCACACGCCCCAAATACGTGGTGATTGTGGCATTTATTTACATATTTACATGTAGTTTCTCTCTTTTCACAAGGAAATTAAGGTTGCATAAGAAAATGAACAATAAGGCCGGCCATGGTGGCTCACGCCTGTAATCCCAGCATTTTGAGAGGCTGAGGTGGGCGGATTGCCTGAGGTCATGAGTTCAAGACCAGGCTGGCTAATTCGGTGAAACCCTGTCTCTACTAAAAATACAAAAAAATTAGCTGGGTGTGGTGGCACATGCCTGTAGTCCCAGCTACTTGGGATGCTAAGGCAGGAGAATTACTTCAACCCGAGAGACAGAGGTTGCAGTGAGCAAAGATCATGCCAGTGCAGCAGTGGCTCATTGAAGCCTGTAATCCCAGCACTTTGGGAGGCTGAGGCGGGCGGATCACCTGAGGTTGGGAGTTCAAGACCAGTCTGACCAACATGGAGAAATTCCGTCTCTACTAAAAATTTAAAATTAGCCAGGTGTGGTGGCACGCACCAGTAATCTCAGCTACTTGCGAGGCTGAGGCAGGAGAATTGCTTGA